CAATCATGGTATTTCATTACATTCATAATAAAAGAGAAAAAAGTATTCGTATATCACTAGATTCTGAAAGGACACCTGATAAAGCCAGCAGCTGTTTCTACAAGATGCTAAGCAAAATGAAAATAGGAAACAAATATCTACATAGACCTGATATTTTACCAACATTAAAAAGCAATCACCGGGGTGCCTAGGTGGCTCAGTCAGTTGATCATCTGACTCTTGATTTCCGCTCAGGTCATGATCTCAGGGTCATAGGACTCTGCACTCAGCACAGAGTCTGCTTGAGATTCTCTCTCTCCCTTTTCCTTTGCCCCTCCCCCCAAATAAATAAATAAAATCTTTTCAAAAAATTTTAAAAAGCAATCACCAAAACAGATGGTAAAATGTTAAATCCATTTCCATTAAAATCATGAATTATCGGGCGCCTGGGTGGCTCAGTTGGTTAAGCGACTGCCTTCAGCTCAGGTCATGATCCCAGGGTCCTGGGATCGAGTCCCGCATCGGGCTCCCTGCTCTGCGGGGAGCCTGCTTCTCCCTCTCCCACTCCCCCTGCTTGTGTTCCCTCTCTCGCTGTGTCTCTCTCTGTCAAATAAATAAATAAAATCTTAAAAAAAAAATCATGAATTATCACAATTATTAGTTAATATAATTCTGACGACTGTACCTAATGCAATAAGAATATGACATAAAGGGTAAAAATAATAGAAAAGGAAACATAAAAAGTCTTTTAGTCACAGATTATATGACTGTATACCTTTTAAAAATCACAAGAGATTATAGAGTTTTTAGAAAAGAAAATATTGTAATTAATACTAGAATGTGCTAAGGTGGTTGCAAAAGAGAGAAAAGACCTCTCTTTATATAAGCACCAAAGAAATTAGGAAGAAAAACAGGATATCAGCATTAAAATCAAAGCTGTTAAAAAGCTTTGAACCAGTTTCTTCAATTAATAAATTAGAAAGAGAACATGTGAAAGGGAGATATGCAGATTAAAAGATACTTAAGAGATATCAACCAGCTATAAAGTAAGATCTGTTGGATCCCAATCAGAAAAAAAACTATTAAGGAAGGGGTGAGAACAGGAGAAATTATTAAGAAATTACTTTTGGAGCTCCACTTCTGCATTTCTGTTTAGGATGTGGACATCTGTAAGAGAATGTCACTCCTACCCCAGTAATAAGAAAAGGCCAGGAAACCTACAAAATCATAACTTTTCTTGAACTCATTAGAAATATGAGGTCATAAGGCAATAAAGCAAGTGAATCCCATAAAAGTGACAAGCCCCTTCAAGAAGAAACAGGACACAAAACCATCTCTCCTTTGGCAGATCACAGAAAAAAGAGGATGCTTCTATAAAAGTGAAAAATAAGAAGTCACTTAAGAGTTTCAAAAATGCTTAAAGGTCAAGAATAGCCTATCATGTTGGTTTAAATTTCTAGGAGTCCCAGATACAAGGGACACATTTCCAAGTTATTTCCCACAAACCTTCACTGGGTGCTCACAAAAAAGATGGGAGACAGAGAAGGAGACCTGATAGTGTTGGCATGCAGCAATGATCAGCTACTGAGAGACAAGCATGAAGCCCTTCCAGGTCTCCAAACCTTTCTTTTATAGGAAACAAAAGGCTTAAACTTTTGGATATATGAGTTGCAAACTTTCTCATCCCAAGAACCCATGCAAAAATCCACTGTTACTGGAATAAGGATTGAAGTGAAAACCCTCTGCCCTTGGAGAAAGGGTAGGAAAACTTTTTGGACCCAGCATCTTACTCCAGTACTAAGCAGAGATCTGCTGCCACTAGAGAAGGGTCAAGCACCTGACAACAGAGGTCTATCTTATATCACAGACATGCGGGCACTGTTGAAAGCTGCAAATGAAACAGAAACACTGAAAAATATCCTCCAGCACCCCATCTTTGCTTTTGGCCCACAGTAAAAATATCCCACTTCTGGAAGAATTTGAACCCTATGCAACACTAAAAATTATAATAGAAACAATAAAATCCAAACCCAGCTCAACTCCTGATTAGATTAATTTAACCTTGCACAGTAATGGCCTGATAAAAGAAGAGGTATGCCCATTTCTGTGTATATTTTTTACCTGAAAAAAAAAATATTGTTTACCTGAGTCTCTACTGTTCTTATATACATTCTGTCCAGTATTCAATGATAAATTATGAGATACACAAAAAGCAAGAAAGACTAAACCACTGCTTTATCTCTCAATAAAGAGATACCAGGTTCAGAGGTAAATCAGATATTAGAAATAACAGACAGGGAGTTTGGAATAACTATGTTTGATATGTTAAATGATCTAATGGAAAAGGTAAGCAACATATTAAACAGATGGGGAATTTTCTCACCAAGATGAAAATTATAGAGTCAAAGAGAAATGCTGGAAATAAAAAACAATACCAGGGATGAAGAATTCCTTCACTAGGCTCATCAGAAGATTGGACACAGCTAAGGAAAGAATCAATGACTTAAAGATAATGACAATAGAAACTATCTAAACTGAAACACAAAAGAAAAAAAAAAGTAAACAAAACCAAACAGTATGTGTAAAGAGCTCTGAGACAACATATGGTCACAAATCATCTAACACATGTGTAATCAGAATCTCAGAAGAAGAGAGAGAGAATGGGGAAGGAGAAATATTTAAAAAGATAATGACTGAGAATTTTCTAAAATTAATAAAAGACAATAAGCAATAGATCCAAGAATCCCTCAAACCCCAAGCAAGGTTAAAAAAAAAAAAACCCTAGATATATTATAGTTAAACTATTAAAAACAAAACATAAACAGAAAATATTGAGGGCAGCCAGAGGTAGGGGTTGGGAAGAGTTTAAACACAGAGCAACAGAGACAAGAACTGAAGCACCTTTCTTCGAAAGTATGTAAGCCAGAAGACAATGAAGTAACATCTTCAAAATACTGAAAAAAAGAAATGAATTTTTAATATTTTAGGTGTGATAATAGTACTGTGGTATTACATATTTTTTCTCAACAGCCTTTATACTTAAAGGTTCACACTAGGGATGGTTTCACACTAATCAGAGAGGAGAGCTCGCCTTGTAGATGAAGGTAGAGATAAAGCAAGATTGACCATGAGTTGATGATGATTGAAACTAGGTGATAAGCAGGTGGGAATTCAATGATATTCTCTCTACTCTCATAAAATTTTTTAAATTGCCATAATAGAAAATTTCGTAAAGAAATGGAAATTTTAAAATATTTTTTATTTGAGTACAGTTGACACACAATGTTACATTAATTTCAGGTACACAACATAGTGATTCAACTTCTCTATATGTTATGCTATGCTCACCACAAGTGTAGATAGAATCTATCACCATACAACACCATCACAATACTATTGACTATATTTCCTATGCTGTGCCTTTCATTTCCATGACTTATTCATTCTATAAATGGAAGCCTGAATCCTCCACTCCCCTTCACTTACTTTGCCCATCCCTCTACATCCCCTTCCCCTCTGGCAACCACCAGTTTTTTCTTTGTATTTAAGAGTCTGTTTTTTTTGTCTTTTTCTTTATTCATTTGTTTTGTTTCTTAAATTCCACATATGAATGAAATTATACAGTACTCTGGGTCCATCCATGTTGCAAGATGGCAAGATCTCATTCTTTTTATGGCTGAGTAATATTCCAATATATATATATATATTCCACATTTTCTTTACCCATTCATCTATGGATAGACACTTGGTGATTTTGCTTTTTGTTTTTTTATTCATTTGTTTTGTTTTTTAGATTCCACACTTGATCTTAGCCAAAAGGCCAAGAAGCGATTGTGTTTTAGATTCCACATATGAATGAAATCATATAGTATTTATGTTTCTCAGTCTGACATTTCACTTGGCATAATGCTATCTCAGTCTATCCATGTTGCTACAAATGGAACAATCTCATCCTTTTTATGGCTGTGTAATATTCCATCACACACACACACACACACACACACACACATCTTCCTTATCCGTTCATCTGTCAATGGACACTTAGGTTGCTTCCATGTCTTGGCTATTGTAAATAATGCTGCAATGAACATAGAGGTGCATAGATCTTTTCAAATTAGTGTTTTCATCTTCTTAGGGTAAATACCCACCATACACAAAAGTAAACTCCAAATGGGTTAAAGACCTAAGTGTGAGACCTGAAACCATAAAAATCCTAGAAGAGAAAACAGGCAGTAATTTCTCTGACATTGGTCACAGCAACATTTTTCTAGATATGTCTCCTAATGCAAGGGAAACAAAAGCAAAAATAAGCTATTGAGACTACATCAAAATAAAAAGCTTTTGCACAGGAAAGGCAACCATCAATAAAACGAGAAAGGCAGCCTACTGAATGGGAGGAGATATTTGCAAATAATATATTTGATAAGGGGTTAATATCCAAAACATATAAAGAACTTATGCAACTCAACACCAAAAAACCCCAAACAATCTGATTTAAAAATGGGCAGAAGACCTGAATAGACATTTTCCCAAAGAAGACATACAGATGGCCAACAGACACATGAAAGGATACTCAACATCACTATCATCAGAAAAATGCAAATCAAAACCACAATGAGATGTCACCTTACACCTGTCAGAATGGCTAAAATCAAGAACACAAGAAACAACAGGTGTTGGTGAGGATGTGGAGGAAGGGGAACCCTCACGCACTGCTACTGGGAATGCAAACTGGTGCAGCCACTTTGGACAACAGTGTGGAGGTTAATCAGAAAATTAAAAATAGAATTACCATATGATCCAAAAATTGATTTTTAAAAAAAAAAGAGAAAAACATGGACAGAAGAGATGAGTATATCATAGCACATATCCCATCAGGTTTCTCTCATTTTTTTCCTCTAATTATCTCTTCCCATACATAGCCTTTGGTTCACTGTAGGGTCACAGGTCTCCAAACTGGGGTCACACAGGGCTGCAGCCACAGCCGCCCTCCCCAGTGATGTCACCCCAGCAAAACCTACCAGTGCCAAAGCTCTCTTCTCCACACAGAGAGCACCGTCCCGAGTCCATAAGATTGGAGAAGAATCTCCATCCCGCTGGGGTCTCATATACAGGGACCTTCATTGATTTGGCCACCCTGAAAAATGAAATTCAAGGCAACAGTCAATTCATATATCTCTTCTTTCTTTTCTCAGCACAGAAGGAAGTCTTTAGAATTTATTAATTCCATAACTAGATTTCAGAACATTCTGGACAGTGTTGACATTTTTCAGGATATTAAAAGCTGTAAGGTAGAAAATGATAAATAATCTATTCCAGTGGTTCTCAGTTTGCTTTCCCCATAATATAGAAAATATTGAATTAATGTAGAGGATATTCTCACTTTTATGTTTCCCTTCTATAAATGTTCCTTTATCTTCATGGTAAGATCCCACTTGGGGATCTCAGAATCTAAATTAAGAGGGAGTTTGGGTATAAGCACATTGGAATATTGTTTGACAATATCTACTAAAGATGAATATACACATATCCTATGACCCAGCAATTCAACTCCTAGAAATTACTAATGACATGTAGTGGACACTGTGGTGTACAGCTCAGCTTCACTGCCCCCCACCCACCCACACACACGCAAGGACTTTTAGGATTGGAAAACTCATTCTACCAGCTCCCAGAAATGTTGATGGGTAATAGCTCACAGACATGGCCTCCACTCTCTGCCAAAGAGAGATGTCACACTCAAAATCATGCTTCCTTTCCTGGGTCAATCCACATCCAATGACTGGTAAATGAGGGATGTATAAAGGTCTAGCCTCCTTGCACCTATTTGGCACAACTCTGTGGAACCATTTCAGCTCTAGAGCTCCCCATAAGTTGGCTGAGGCCTTCACTGTGACTGCACTGCAGTCCAGCTTCTCTCTCGGTGTCCTATTCCCCTTCCTCCACTCCCTCATAGGTACTGATCTTAAAGACAACTTTGGTCTTGATGGCAGAAAGGAATAAACTTCTTGCAAGCAAATCTCTCTCAGGGCTGCTACCTGGGGAACCCAGTGTGTGACATTACTCAACAGAATATATACACAAGATTTTACAAAAATGATCATAGAATCACAATTCATAAGAACTGAACAAACCAGGTGTCCACTGAGTAGGATGGACAGATGATTTGTGATATATAATGCACCACCATAAATTTCATGGAACAAACTATTGCTACATGCAACAACTTGGATGAATCTCACAAACATTGTATCAAGTAAAAGAAACTGGGAACAAGAAAATATACATTGTATTGTTCCACGTAGATAAACTTCAAGAACAGCTAAAACTAATTGGTGCTCTCACAATTCAGGCTCAGAGGATCAGAGAGGTCAAGTGTTTTGTTCAAGGTTTCACAGAGGTAAGAGGCAAAGCGAGAATTTGGACCCAAGTCTGCTTAATTTCTGCTCATGTTCCATTTCCCTATATCATGTTGTCTTCCCAAATGTTCTAAGAGGTACGTAGAACTCAGAAAATGTTGGGGAATGATCTGATACTGTACCATTGACCTAAAGAGTTTCATCTTTCCCACAGGCAAGCAACCAAAAAGCAAAAACACCAAATGACTGCCACCAGCAAGATTTAGTTTTTCAAAGGCTGTAAGTGCAGGAGGTAGCCAGAGAAAGGAACCAGTGAGGGTATCTTGGTGAAGAAGAGAAGAAAGGTGCACAGAGGACAAAGGACACAATGTAATAATGATTTCCTTAGGTTTGTTTTGGGCCAGCTAAAGAAAAAAAATATCTAGAAATGCTTGCTACAGGAAAGTGAACACCTTCCTTTCCATAATATCCAAATATAACTGATGTGTTCAGGATCTTGAAAAATTGTGTGCTAAATCTCTTTCAAGTTTGCTTTGAAAAGAAGCACTTTTTAGATGTTCGGGTATTACATCAAAGGTTCTGTTGTTGTTGTTGTTGTTTTAATGGGCTAAGAAAGATATACAATCATATTTATATCCTGGTAGGAACAATAAAGTAAATCCTCCCCAAATTGTAGATCAAAGGTAAATTTTTCATAGCCATTAATTTCATAGTCAGAAGCTGAAGGAAGGAGGAATAATTCACACAGAAGCTTCCCAGAGTCAGCACATAGAAAGCCTAGGTCAAAATTAATTTAGCAAATATGAAAGCATATGATTACCAAATAGAATGTGCAACATGGAGTAGATGTAAGGGTAAGAAAAAGGGTAGAGAGTTTGGGGACATATACTTTCTAGCTAAAACATTCTTGTAGGTTCAAAGCCAAGTTGGCAGATCTGAAGGGAGGAGAAAGGATTTCCCTTGCTCCCACCCTTCCCAATTAATCACTGTCAGGAGGTCACCAGGCTGAGGGCTGAGGCTGGATTTTAAAGGACCGGATACTTCTATAACTATAAGCCACAGTTGTAGCTATGCAAGCTAAGATAACAATATGGGTAATTAAATTCCGGGATCCTGAGCATGAGTTGATTGTGCCCTAGAGTCAAAAAGGAATTCCCCTCCCGTCTCCCTCTACTGAACTTGGGATCCACCCCAAACACTGCATTCAGCAGATACCATGCTCTAGGCTGGTTTTTGGCAGGAACCCCCCTGGAGATTTTCTGAAAGCTTAAAATGAAGCTGCTCATGCTGAGGGTCTTCACCCCTCTTGACCGCCGCCACCATGTGTTGGAGACAAACATAAGAACTCACTTCCTAGGAAAGACCAGAGTATGAAGAAAAAGAAAGAAAATCAGTCTCAACCACAATTTTCCTGCAAGTGGGAGTTGAGTTCTGGTAGTTAAAAAAACAAAAACAGGGGCGCCTGGGTGGTGCAGTCAGTTAAGTCTTTGACTCTTGGTTCCAGCTCAAGTTGTGATCTCAGGGTCCTGAGATTGAGCCCTGTGTAGGGCTCCACACCCAGCATGGAGTCTGCTTAAGATTTTCTCTCCCTTTCTCTCTGCCCCTCTCCTCCTCATGCTCTCGCTCTGTCTCAAATAAGTAAACCTTTAAAAACAAACAAACAAACAAACAAACAAACAAGAAACAAAAAGAACCATGGTGGATGCTCAGGGTGATTTTTAAACTTCTAAAAATGTGGCTCGGGGTTGGAAACAGCCTCAACTTATCTTTCGAACAGTTTCTCTCATGAAAGTCACTACAAACTCCTAATAACTGGACAATCTCTTATTTTTCAAATTTGCTCTTTCATTTTTGCTATTGTTGGCTACTCCCTAGTCCTTCTTCATGCTTTTCATTTTACCTGGATTAATCCTTTCCAATCTCTGTCAAAATCCTTCATGTTGGGGCGCCTGGGTGGCTCAGTCGGTTAAGCGACTGCCTTCGGCTCAGGTCATGATCCTGGAGTCCCGGGATCGAGTCCCGCATCGGGCTCCCTGCTCGGCGGGGAGTCTGCTTCTCCCTCTGACCCTCCCCCCTCTCCTGTGCTCTCTCTCTCTCTCTCTCTAAAATAAATGAATAAACAAAATCTTAAAAAAAAAAATCCTTCGTGTTGCTTCAAGACCTAATGTCTTGCCACCATGTCCTGCCACCATGAAGACTGTGGCCAAAGGCTGCTAGGTGACCAACAAACCCATCTCTTCTCCTGGACACTCAGCTGGACTATACTTCCCAACCTCCCTCCCAGTTAGCTGTGGCCACATGGTGGAGTTCCAGCCAATGGAACTTGAGTGGAAATGACATACACCCTTTGCAGATCTGGCTATTATTAAACTTTCCCATCCTCCACGTTCTTTTGCCTTCTGCCAGCTTACAGTGGACAAGCCGAGCAAACCCGGAAGCTATACATTGAAGATGGTAGACCCACAGTATGGAAGGATCCACGTCTCTAAATTGCCATTTGGAGCAGAATCCACCACCAATCAGGAACCCTGTTTTTAACTTTTGATGACTGAGAATATTGTCTATAGTAGCAGCTCCATTATCTTAATCAATATAACCCTTCCTCATCATTACAATCAATCCAAAGTAACCCTTCCTGCTACGTTTCCTCTCACTTGGTATAGTGTTTACGTTGTCATTGCTGATGTTCTCACATCCTTAACACTTTTCTTCCACACACAGATACACACTACTATCACTACCAGCATTAGAAGTTCTTTGAGGCAGCGAGCGCCTGGGTGGCTCAGTTGGTTAAGCGACTGCCTTCGGCTCAGGTCATGATCCTGGAGTCCCGGGATCGAGTCCCGCATCGGGCTCCCTGCTCGGCAGGGAGCCTGCTTCTCCCTCTGATCCTACCCCCCTCTCATGTGCTTTCTCTCATTCTCTCTCTCTCAAATAAATAAATAAAATCTTTAAAAAAAAAAAAAAAAGAAGTTCTTTGAGGCAGGAACTACATCTTATATACTTTTATAGCTCTTCAATGTTTAGGATAATATAGCACCTTGTCAGATTTGCCCTTAATAAATTCTGTATCATTTCAGTTGACTAATATCTATTATTTAAGGGGTGTTATTGGATAGCAGGGGGCAAAGTATTTCTAATTTTGTGGTCTTTTTTTCTTGTAGTTTCCTAAAAATATAACTAAGTCATTTCTGCATGTTTTATTTATTTATTTACTTTAAAAGATTATTTATTCACTTATTTGAGAGAAAGTGAATGGGGAGAGGGACAGGGGGAGAGGGAGAGAGAGAATCCCAAGCAGACTCTGTGCTGAGTGTTGAGCCCCACACGAGGCTCAGTCTCACAACCCTAAGATCATGACCTGAGCCAAAATCAAGAGTCAGACGCTTAACCAACTGAGCCACCCAGGTGCCCCACCATGTGTTTTATTCAAATTCGTCATTTTGAGAAAGAGAATTTCATAAGATGTTAATTAGTGAGATTATCAGGATGAGACAAAGGCATTTCTTGGAAGTAGAGATCTCATAGATTTAGGGCAATGACTAACTGAAAATCAAAGGTGTGAAGAGCAGAATACATTTTTCTATTTTACCAGTCTGGCCATCACCCTACCCTCATGTGATCAAACAAGATAACAGATACAAAAGCATCCTAACCATACCCTAAAAGCTCACCAAATTAAGGGGGGCTGACATATCCATCTTTGTGCTTCCAGCACAATGCATGGTCACAGTCACTATTCAAATATCTATTAACCTAATTATAAAGTACTACATCA